CGTCGATGTCATGTCGACACGGCGGGTGGGATAGAAAAAAAAACTGGGAGAGGAGCAGAAACACACTGGCAACAAAAATGGCATATTGTATCAAGAAATTATTCTATATTTTACATTGGAAAGTAAATATATAAAATGATAATTAATGTTATAATATAAAATTGATTTATTTAAATATCAGTTACTGTGCAATACAGAGTTAAAATTAAGGAAGTAAAGCAAACTATGTTGAGGCTTATAAATTGGTTTTTACTACTACTATTTGTACAGCTTGAGCTCCAAGTCAAAACCTTTAAAAACTAAAAGCAGAGGACAAATGCCTTATTGGGCTTGCCTCTTTATTTCAGAATCTCAGTGATTGCTTTTTAAAGAAATAAGCAAAGCATTTCTTGTAACTTTTGGGCGAACAAATGTTATTGTATTTTCAACGTATAAATTACATTCAAAAGGCAAGTCAAAGGACAACAGATTGACCGCTTTTTATTTTCCGTAGGTAGGTAGAAACCATAAACCAGACACAAATATATGAAATGACAATGAATGATCCAAGTGTCTGGGGAAATAGTATTTTTTTCAGTGTAGGATAGGCAGGCATCAAGTGTTCAAGGCGCCTAAAGTAACTGAAGTCGGCAAATACCGCGAAACGGATGGCAAGGGACGAAACTGGATAGGATCTGGAGGATGGGAGGATGTGAGGATGTGAGGATGGGAGGAGCGAAGGACAGCAGGGCAGCTGACACCGTCTAGAGCGGGCGACATGGAGTTAAGTGGCGTAAAGCGTGTACTTAATCGCTTAAAGCATTAGAATTTGAAATTGAATATCATAAAGGATATGCAAAAAAGCGGGCTGCAAACGAACTCGGGAAAAAATAAAGAAAAACCAACTGAAGAACAAGCGAAGCAGAGCGAAAAAAATTGTTTAAGTAGAACAAACAGCAAATAGTTGTAAAATGTTTCTATAGAGCGAGATAGGAATGCGGAGCGAGAAAGAGAGGGCGAGAGTGTTGGAGGGTGTGCGAACATTTTGCAAATAGTTGAGGGTCCGTTTGGAGTTGAAGGAGCTCCGTTGCTGTTGAATTGACTCGTAAATTTGTTTTAAGGTGCGACATAAACTGTGGGAGATGGGCGAAGGGATGGCGTTTTCAAGCGACAAACAAATTGTTAAGGGGAGTACATTTTTATCGCAATTGATTCAGTTTGCTGGCTTCTTCCTGAAGCGGCGATAATTTTTGTGGCTTCACATGACCGCACACAGCTGAAAATAGAATGAATTTCCAGGCAATTTAATTCCGCGTCATAAAACTGCAAAAAACATTACCAAAAGCTTCACAAATAACTTTTAATAACAGTTATTACAGCGGCTAGGGCAAAATATTTGCTGGGAAATTACGCAGCAATTAGCGGAATTATATTAACAAAAGTTTTGATTTTACTGATGCAAACAATTTTCGGAAATTATTACTCGAATTTGTTCACTTCAGCATTATGCACACAGACAAAGTCCTCGAATTACAAACGAAAATAATTATAACTATATAAATTTATCCATTTTTAAAGCAAAAAGAACAATTGAAATATTTGCAGCATTTTGCATTTTAATTTATTGCACAAAAAGTTATAAATCGCAATTCGATGGGAGATTGGCAGAATGGCTGAGCAAGAAGAATGATTTGCGGAAAATCCAAATGTGTGTCCGCCCGCCCAGATGGCATTAAAAATGCATGACATTTTGACAATTGATGGGCCAAGGAATCGATAACATCAAATATGCATTGCCAAGGGGGCGGCTTTGGGGCCGGCGTCTGACAATTTGCAATTTGCTTTTATCATCTTAATTTGATTTGATTTGAAGGGTGTTTGCAGAGGCAGTCAAATGGGGCCGGACGGAGGTGGAAAAGCAGTTCGATAATGAAGAGAAGCTGGTTAAATTAGCACGGCATTCAATTATTCATCTCCGATGGGAGTGGCCGGGGGAATAACGTCAGCTCCCCACTTCTCCCATCGCAAAACAAACACACATTAGCTTATAACGCAGCCCGAACAAAATCGAAGCCGTTCGAAAATGCTGTCTGTGATTGTGATTATCCTGCTGTTTTTGGAGTCGACTTGGGGCTTTATCATCACAGTGGACGCCCATGAGGCGATGTGCTTCTATGATCACGCCCATGTCAGCGATAAGGTCACCCTGTCCTTTGAGGTCATGGATGGTGGCTTCAAGGACGTGGGCGTGGAGATCTGGGGCCCCGGGGACGACCCTCTGCACCATTCGGAGCAGGACACCACGGGCAGTTTCACCTTCACGGCCATGAAAGATGGCCAGTACATGCTGTGCTTCGACAACAAAATCTCCACGCTGACTCCCAAGGTCATAATGTTCCAGTTCCATGTGGCCAGGGCCCTCGGATACTACTCGGATCCCTCGAAAAGGAGGGACGATGTCGTCGAGCAGGCCAGAGTTCAGTCCATGATCAACGCACTGTCCGCCAAACTGGGAGCCGTGAAGATGGAACAGGAATACATGCACTTTCGCTATCGCGGGCACTTGGATGTCAGTGACATGGTGCACTTTCGGGTCACGGCCTGGTCTGTATTTGGACCCATGATGCTTCTCATTATGGCCATCCTGGAGGTGTACTACTTGAAGCAGTTCTTTGAGGTCAAGCAAGTGGTTTAACCGCTGGCTCCTCGGAATACTATTTCTAAGACTGATTTGGACCTAATAAGTGATTTACTGCATGTTCAAAGATATAACTTTTGGAACTTAACGCTTGATTTTTTATCACGTATTGTACATTTCAAAAATAGACTAAGCTTCCAACTCATGGAAATGAGTCTATAAGGAACTATAGACTACATTTCCTGAAATAAAATATTTAAGCTATCCTTCACCTTTCATTATTTGAAATATGAATATGGTTAGATTAGATTTTATTTCAGTTTATTTTTTTCTGAGTATTATAAAACAATAAATTTATAAAAGGTGGTAGTAATGTATTCAATGCAAAAGTAATAAAATCATAAAGTATTTGAAAGAATAAAGAAATTTATTTTAAATTGCCTAAATTAACTGAATAGCTTTTCTCCTGATTGGTTTGTGTTTTATTGTGTTGCTTGAAAAGAACGATCTTTTCCTGGTTGGCCCATCCTTGTGGCATTTCTTTCCCCTCAATTTGCTTCATATTTCACGCTTCACAAACCATAAAACTTTTCCACGTTCGGGGGACTGGTTCAAGTATCCATAAAGTTCACTTCACCTATATAAAGTGTGGCCCCACATTGGATTAGCACTGGAAATTTATGACGTCTGTCCACACATGGCCAATACACCAGTCGTGGCGGAAACTTATCATATTCATTCACAACTTTCTCCCACTGCTTTCTCCGCTCCTTGGCGAAACAATGCCAAAGTTTTTGCCTCTTATTTACGACAATGTCGCGTCAAGTTTTTTTCCCGCTCCTGTTTTTATTTTTCTATGCTCGTGCCATGGGTATATGTATTGCCTATAAAGTAGCAAGTTTTCCCTATTTTTTGCGTTGGTTGTTACATAATAAAATGAAGCATGTTGTAGGAGCTCTCCAGTCGCGGCATCTGGCAGCGCAAGGAGAATGAATAAAGGACACCCGACTTGGTACAATATTGTTCCCCAGCGTCAAATGAAAGCAAAAGTTCAGGGAACGGAATGAGACGGGGGCAATGTGGTCCAAGTATACCAGCAGCCAATGGAGCAGCGCACAAATAAAGTTCACAAGACAAAACAGGAAAGGCAGTGGAGGCTAGCAAAAAGCTGGCTGGCCGGGGGAAAATTCAGCTCCCTGATGGATATTTTCCAAGAATTTTATTTCGAATTTACATTCTACGGTTTCTTTGCTCGTGGATTCTGTTTTGATGGAAAGTACGTTAAAAGTTTTATCATTATTCAACTTGAAGTTAATGAAGAAATACAGTAAAAATATTGAAGCTTAAACTGTTTGTTAGTTTACAATTTTATCTAAAACTATATGGCATAAACACTAAACACTATCTGCAGAAGGTCCCTCCCTATTTCCCATTTCGATTTATCCACCAATATCCACTCAACATTCCGATGACCCATCATCTCTCATCATTATCGCATGCCAGAACCTCATGGCACTCTGGCTTCAATTATGTTTTGCATCCTTCAGAGCTGTTCACTTAATTGCATCACTTGCAGAGCTGCCAGGGGTTGAAGGCAGTGGTTAGCCTTGTGTTCCTTTGAGTTGTGACGGCTCTGGGTTCAAATGTCCTCCCACTTTCATTTTACCAACTTCGTTCTCCCACTGCCAGCGTGGCAATTCAATTTTCTATTATGTCAGGCCGAGTTGAAAGCAATGTAATGTTAATAAAATACTTCCACCAGCCCCAGCCTCGGTCTCGGCTGCGGCATCAGGACTAGAGCAACAATGGCAGCCTTAGACGCGGCTCGGCTGCCATGGCAACATAGCGTATACGCAACGTGGTGCGCCTTTTGTCCTGCCTACGAGTATTTACCCGCAACACAGCAAACACACAAGCCATATGAGAGGGGCAACTCAGGCGGTTAGAGCTATGTTATTTGACATTTATTTGCCATTTCCCTGCACTAGCCGCTCTGCCCTGCCTTGAACCACGGTGGTTGCGCCGAAAAAATTTATCATTTGAAAACATACTTCGACCTAATGATTATTACTTTAAATCAATTCCTTTTATTTGACTGGTAATGCCATAACTAAGGTTTTTTGAATTTTATGCCCAGGGATATTTTTTTTTTTAAATAAATTGATTTTTGTTGTCGAATGTATTTTTAATTTGGCTCACTTGAATGGATTTCTTAGCATAACTATAATAATTTATACACACAAATGTTTGTCCTTTATTATATAATATGAATTAAGTTACACCTTAAATAAATATCAATATGTATTGTATTTAAACAGGAATCAAGAATTTGGATCTCTTGATTTTGTTCTCCGTGTAAATAGAGAGATGCAGCAGCACTTACCTCGTTTCTGTGGCGCCTGCATGGAGGACGGCGATGGCGTCGCCAGGCGCTCACCCACCAGCTGGAGGAGGAGCAGGAGCATCAACAGGCCACAGTTGACTGCTCCTGATCCGGCGGCGACTCCTTTGTTCCGCCCCATCGTCGCACGACGGACTGCTTCGCTGGATCCTTGACTTTGGTCTCGGTTTTGGTTTCGGTTTCGGTTCTGGTACTGGTACTGGTATTGATTCCACAATTCGTTGGAGCGTTTGCTTTGGCGCATTTCGATTTTCGCACTTCACTTTCACAATTCCCGTTTATATATCTTTTTGCACTTATTTTTTTGACTCGTTCATTTCATATGCTCCTGTTAAAAAAATATTTGTATAAGAAATTGTTTGAAAAATTATCGTTAAGCTTTTCTGTGTTTCATGTCTGCAAATATTTGCATTTTAATCTCGCTTTAAATTTTGCGCATTTTATAGTGGGCCCCATTTGCTATTAATTAAAAACTGATTTACTCAATAATTGATTTTTTTGGTACAATATTGTTTTGCCATTATTTAATGGTCCATTGTTTGGTCATCATTAGTCACGTGGAAATCCAGAGGGGACCTGAACAGTGAGGAAAATCCCAGGAGGCGAGTTGCTGGCAATCATTCTTCATTAGATGGGGCCAACATGTCAAGGACTTTTCGAGGACGACCGCAGAAATTGCGCAGTTTTCTCCACCGTCTCCTCGACCCTATGTTTTTTTTACATTTTTTGGTTGATAAATATCAAAAATTCACAGTTGCATTTCCATGGAAATTGGCAGAGGCAAAAAAGCAAATGCAAAGCAAAAATATTTTTTCCAACAGCCAACTAAGGGGCTGGCGACGCTCTGTGGAGCTTGAAAAATTGCAGCAATTAGTGGTGCCTGGAGGTCAACCAACCAACGAGCCAAAAAGGACACGGTCCCACACCAGCACACGGCCAGGATCTGTTCATGCAACCTGGCGACGTGAGCCAGCCAAGAAATATGTGGCTGAAATATTTTGGTTGCGTTTTTTGTTTCGTTTTGCTTTGAAATGGGACCTTTAAAGTGGGACCTTTTCGAGAGATTGAAATAAAACTTGTGGCGAATTGGTGACAAAGATTTGGGATTAAGCACAAAATGGCAGTTGAAGATTTCATTGTTTGGTCTTTGTTTTCAGTACTAGTGTTTTGCAAGCATTGTTTAATTATTGCATTTATGTCAATGACTGTCGTCATCGGTCATTAATATTTATAATGTTATTTTCTCCTATCAAATGAAATGATTTACGATGCAATTTATCTACAGCAAAACAATGACAATTTAACTTTTATGTGTCCTTTTTTAATTGCTTGATAGATTTCTCTGTGTCGCGGGCAATCGAGTTTTATATTTCATTGAAAATACATATATAAATCCTTTCCGCTGTTATTTCAATGATGAATGATGAATGCTTGCTTGGCCAATTCGGGCGCACATCCCAAGCATTCCTGGCGGGTTCTTTTTGTGGGTTCAGCTGGTTCAATATTTCAATGGGTCGCACGGGTTTTTATTGCACCTCTAGGCGCATTCAATTATTTATGCAAACGCTTCAAAAGGGAGCAACAAAAAGGCGAAAGGCGGTGGCAATAAAAATCAAAATCGGGGCAAACTCAGTTGTGGCATATGGCGAAAAAGGAACAGAAACTGGAAAGAAAACAACACAAGGACAAAAACAAAAGGCAACCGAGTGAAACGCACACAAAAATAAATGGAGAGGGAAGCATCCTGATGGCCATTGACGGATGTGGCACGCGTTCCTCCTTTTATATTTGTTTTATTCTTATTTTATATTTGCGGAGGCACTTTATAAAAAATCACGTAGCCGCCATGGAGTCAGGGACGGATAAAGCGGTGAGCGGTGCCACCACCCACCAAGCATTGAAAATTTAATATTTTATCTTAACGAAGGACATCCATTACAAACAACTACACTATTGAACATCACGCACCACAGGCACAGCACTTTTCAGGCCGAAACAGAAACTGCGATTCTGAACCGCTTCTGCTGACTTCTGCAGACGAACTGAGCGCGAAATTACGGAGCTGCTGTAGACAAACCCGATGAATAAATGTGAAGATAAATCAAAGCTTAAGCCACCACGACGACACAACCTCAGGCTTCGGCTTGCCACGGCAAACTGGCGATTTTTCAGAGATTTCTGGCAACAACGAACCGAGTCGAACCAAACGAAGCTCCGAATGAAAGTGAAGCTGATTTTCCGACACCAAGTGAGCGAATCGGTTAAGCCCTTTTTCGGGGGAGCGTGAAAGCTCTGATTTTTGCGTTACGCTCCCCTGTATTTTCCGGCTCTCCCCAATCATCTGACTTTTGTTTACGCCTAAACAGCTGTTTTCACTTTGGCTCGCACGTGGCCGAGACAACAACAAAAACAACGGCAGTATTTTGATACTGCATTACGTAAGTCACTGAATCGGTTAGCGGAAAAATGGCGTTAAGGGTATTTGAGGTGCAGGGTAAAATAAAACAATCAATAAGTTATATAAAGGCATAATATGTTTTCATGACTAATTAATTGGCATCCAATACTTTGAATTGCTATATTTTAAAATCCTATTTAGACCCAATTAAAAAAAAAATTTAATATTTATTATACCCTTGCAGAGGGTATTATAATTTCAGTCAGAAGTTTGCAACGCAGTGAAGGAGACATCTCCGACCCTATAAAGTATATATATTCTTGATCAGCATCACTAGGCGAGTCGATCTAGCCATGTCCGTCTGTCCGTCCGTCTGTCCGTCTGTCCGTCTGTCCGTCCGTTTATATGCAAACTAGTCTCTCAGTTTTAAAGCTATCTGCATGAAACTTTCCCAAAAGTTGTCTTTCTATTGCAGGTAGTATATAAGTCGGAACGAGCCGGATCGGACGACTATAGCATATAGCTCCCATAGGAACAATCGGAAAAATAAAGGAAAAAAAATTATAACTTTGCTGTTTTTTAATTTTTTGTTTAGTTCTTCGACATTTAGTAATGGTTAAATATTTCCGATTTACGGTTTAAATTTCATCAAAATCGGACGACTATAGCATATAGCTCCCATAGGAACAATCGGAAAAATAAATGAAAAAAATTATAACTTTTCTGTTTTTTAATTTTTTGTTTAGTTCTTCGACATTTAGTAATGGTTAAATATTTTCGATTTACGGTTTAAATTTCATCAAAGTCGGACGACTATATCATATAGCTCCCATAGGAACAATCGGAAAAATAAATGAAAAAAATTATAACTTTTCTGTTTTTTAATTTTTTGTTTAGTTCTTCGACATATGGCAATGTTTAATTATTTCAGAATTATGGTTTAAATTTTATCAAAATCGGACGTCTATATCATATAGCTCCCATAGAACTAATAAAAATATATAAAATAACTATCTAATAATTGAGCTGCAAATCATCATAGCTTCACTGTTTTTCAGTATATACTGAAGTAAATCATAATTTAAATGTTTTCAAAAGTATTTAATTCATGCAATAGCTGCAAGGGTATATGAACTTCGGCTTGCCGAAGTTTGCTTTCTTTCTTGTTTAATTAAATATTACTTTAAACATAAGTTTACATTTTATTAATACCATTTAATAATCTGTTGCAGAAAAATTCATATACCTCGAAAATTTGTTTCAATCAATCGATTTTTAAGTTGGGTTCGAGATTTATGGGACTTTAACGAGTATTTATGTAAATACAATTTTACTGTTTTAAATAGCAGATTTAAGAAAATAATTAAAGGTTTGTTATTAAATTAATATAATTATCAAACATCTCTTAACCAGTTTAGCTAATTTTGTTTACTATACAAAGTCGTTGTAGTCTAAATCTCATTTTAATTTTAATTTAAATACTTAAAATTGCTTAAAAAAAGTATTGTAATATGCGCCTCACAACGACTACCTGACTACCGCCCACTCCAACCCAAAAGTGGTCATCATCAAGGGCGACTCTTTGCGTGGACAGCTGGCGACGACCTCTGCATGCCAATTAGGTTGGGGATCGCCGAAAAATGAGCAACTGGGACACGGAACGCTGCGCTCCACTGCGGATTTGAACCTCAATACCACCCAACTGCCACCCCACTGCCACCCCACTACCACGTCACTATAACCTTTAAGTATTACGGTAACGGCCGAGTTTTAAGATGGCGCGAAGGAAAATGGAGGTATTTTTTATAGCTATCAACCATCAGATTCAGCTGCAGTAGTGCTGCCTTCTCATGCCGCTACTCTCTTTATTTTCTCATTTCCTGGCCATCCTCAAGGATGTGCGCAGGTGTCAGGACCAGAGGTAAGGCCACTAAAAAACCCGAGTGTGCCTTTTTTCTTTTGCTTAATTTTCGTTTTATGTTTTGACACCGTTTGGTAAAGTTTTCAACATCTCGTCCTGACACTTACAAGTTTGCCTCTTGTTGCCGTTGACATCTTTATACATCATCTGTCCTGTTGCAAGCTATTTCGCCCTCCTGCCCTGCGACGTGTGGCACCTTTAAGTGCCCCCATATCATTTCGGGGCTTCTTACATTTATATTTAATTTCAGACTTTTTTTGTTGTGCTGAATGCCGCCATAAAGTTTTTGTTGCCCATAAAGGCAAGTGTCTTGGATTCGTTCGGCTTTCGTTTTTATTTTTATTGGTATCATATAAGCGCGGGTAGTGTTGAAGACAAATCTGGAAAGTGTGAAGAGATGGTCCACACTTTGATCAATATTTAATCAACATCAAAGGAATCAATATCAAAGGAATTCCATCGACTGTGTTGCATACTTTCGGGTTGCATATGTAATTCATAATTTACCCCTGCCCTAAAATGTTAAACAAAATCGTTACACAATTGATTTAAATGGGATAAAATTGTTCGATAAGTATGTACAAAAAATTACAAATTAATTACAATTCAAAATGGCGCGGGCAGCCGCAAATGTGTGATTTATGTGCCCGCTGTGCATCAGAAATCACGTATACTCTCGCCACCCTTTTACCAATGCCTTTGGCCACTGCAATTGAACACATAATAAATATTTACGCAGACAGTTGCTTGTTTTTCTACACACACAGTGTAATTACAGGAACGCAGCCACACTTGGGCGGCATTTGTGTTTGCCCAGATTATTAAAGTTATTTTCTTTGGTCTTCCCACACCCCCTCACCTGGTGGCGTTTTGCCTTGCCTTGGAACCTTTTGTTTTTGTTTACACACATGAATGTATAAATTACGATGCTTGGTTTTTGTAAACAAAATGAGTTTGCCTGCGGGCCGGCATCCCGATTCTGCCCACACAGCCCTCGAAACCTCCGCCTTTGGGCAAGCTCCTTCTCCTCGGCCACATTTAAATATTTGCGCATGGAATTATTTTCCCTGGCATAAAGTGTGGCCAGGTAGACATTTTACAAAGTCAAACAAAAGCTGCCACCGCCACCTCAGTCACCTGCCAAGCCGTTAACCTCTGACCCCCTCTTCGTATACCTGGCCTTGTGGATGGGCGCTTGTTTTCTGTCCCCATTTCTAGCACCCCGCCTTTCCCCTTCCTACGGTTGACTTTCGTTTCCCCTCCCACTCGGGCATTGGGAATTTTAATTAAATTTAAATGAAGATTTATTACATATTTCATTACTGGCTGCCCGGTTCCGGTGACCTTCAATTGTCCTCCGATTAAACCACAATTGAAAGCAATTATATCGATTCCAAGGGAAACAGAGGGAAATGGTTTTAATGATTATATATAGAGAATAACATTTTTATTTTATTTAAAAGTGGTTATGCTTTAACCAGCCGCTCTATGTATCTGCATAGTACCGTTTGAATTGCATAATTTTGTAAACGTATAAAAAGAAATTGAAATTCTGTAATTGAAGTGACGGTACATGCATATTTTTCATATTTTGGTCTACTTTCACTTTACTAGATAAGCAAATATTTCTTTTTTTAATATTTAGATGTCTAAAAGTTTTTTCCATTTTAACTTCTATGCAGAGATAAATATTATGAGTTTATTTAATGTAACTAAGCTGTAAAAAATAATTCATTTACACACCGAAAATAAAATTGTAATAGAAACTAGACTATTGTTACATGAATTTTTAAATTTTGGGTATTATTAAATTTATACCACGAAACTGTTAAAATAAAACTTATGTAGCTTAGAAAATGGACTTCAGTCTTAAACTCTTTGTTGTTGCAATGAAACTAAAAAGTATTAAGAAGAATTAATACTTATACTTTTTTTTTTTTATGTGCAGTAACATTTTTAAACTGATCCAAAATTATTCGATATTTCCTATACTCCCCAGAAAATAATACATATATCCCCAGTAAATAAGCTTTAAAGTAATGTCACAGTGTAATTAAAATTATATTGGGCAAATACGTTTTAAAACACTTTCTTCTCCTTGGCCGAAGGCGGTGGTCCTGCTGCAGCGGACGGAGTTGGCGATCCACTGTCCGACTCAAAGGGCAACGGCCGGATCGAAGGCTTGGGACGGATGATGATGAAGTGGCAGACGAGATTGGGGTCGACCACCAGAACCGCTCCGCTATTGTCGAAGATGTTGCAGTAGTTCGGAGCCGAGAAGATGGTGACCAACTGGCGATCGGCGAAGAACTCGTAGCCATCCTCGACCACCTGATGGGCACGCACAATCAGGTTGAACTTGTACTGCAGCAGGAAGCCTTCCACCACGCCGGTGCCGAAGGTGAAGCTGACACCGCGATCGTTGGCCGCCCACGTTCCGGTCGTCTCGTCCGGATCCGACCAGAGCAGGTCGCAGAGCAGACCGTCGGCGGGCACCTCGGTGGGCCGATGCAGCCGCCGAATGTCGTCCAGCTGCTTCAGATCCGGACTCAGACCGCCGTGAACGCAGAAAATGCGGTCCGCCACGATGGCAGCCACTGGCATGCAGTCATAGCAGTCCACAAAGGAGCGCCACAATTTCACACTGTACCGCCGTTTGCATTCATCGAAGAATCCGTACACCCGATTCACATCCGACGACTCGTGATTTCCGCGCAGCAGGAAGAAAGTCTCCGGATAGCGCAGCTTGTAGGTCAGCAGCAGTGTCAATGTTTCCAGGGAGTACTGACCCCGATCCACGTAGTCCCCGAGGAAGAGGTAGTTGGAGACCGGAGGAACACCGCACTGCTGGAAAATCCTGAGGAGGTCCTTGAACTGCCCGTGCAGGTCGCCGCAGATCTTCACCGGAGCACTCAGTTCCAGGAGCATCGGCTGGTTCAGGAACAACTCCCGACACGTACTGCATATATACACCAAGGTGGACTCCGAAAGATTTCCGGCTCTGCGATTCCCAAGGGTCTGGTTCTTCAGCTGATTGATGATCGCGTCCAGGTGGGCCAGTCGATTCTTTTCGTCCTTGTCCGCACTGCTCTTGGCGGAATCCACGCTTGCCGCGCGGCGGGACATCGATTCCTTACTTTTAAATTATTTGTGGAGTGTGGAGTTTAAAAATGTTCATCTCTGTAAAAGAAAAAAAATGTTTGCTTTCGTTAAGCAACTTAAAAGTCAAGACATACCCAATTACCTAACAATCTTGTGTTTGAACATGAATTCTAGGTAAAAGCTGTTTTAAAATGAGCCATGATTATATTGGATTTGTACATAATTGTATTTCTATAAAGTAGATTATTTTAAGCGCCGCTTATTTTTATGCGTATTCGACCTCTTTGTATTCTGGTGATAAAAGACCCCAGTATATTGAAAAGAAAATAAAAAAAAAAAACTAAAGCAAATAATATATACTAAACTTTGATAAATTTGTTCAACTTAAATAAATATATTTCTGATACCCCGGGGTTTTCTTAGTACTGGAATTTTTGTTGGTATATTTAAAAAAATATAAATCCGATGTCTAACAATATCTGTAATAACTACGCCTTAATAGGGTTTCTTACTGAAATTTTAAAATTCAAAACCAAATTCAGTGGAATAAGCATTAATTACGGCTATTTTTATTGGTCTTTTTAAACCACAAAAAAATATAAGTCCGATGTGTAATAATATCTGTAATGACTACGACTTAATAGGGTTTCTTATTGAAATTTTAAACAAAACTCACTGGAATAAACATTAATTGTCATGATCAGGCGATCAAAAAGAATAAAAATTGTTTAACGGTGTACTTTGGCCAGACGTATAGGAAATAGAAAAAAAAAATATTCAAAAAAAAATATAAACGGAACGATTATTTTCTTGCAATACCTAACTATGTAGTTAACCAACATCGAAGTCTAAGAAGTATTTACCCTCTACCCACATCCTGATACCTTGACTAATCTTCACGTGGACATAAGTTGCTGAATGTAGAGTTTTGTGAAACTTAAGCCATAAAAATGTGTATTCAAGCTTGGGCTTCTAGTTTTCACTTAAGCATTTAAAAATCAAGCAATGTTTTGATTATCATTTCATTGATGAGCTTAAGTAGTTAACTTGGATGACTGCGGTTCACTTGGTTTTAATGTGCACTTCAACCCTCAATTGCTAAGACTTTTTACTCCGTTTGCTGCAACATTTCTTTCTTGGTCCCTTCGTTTCCCTTTTGGCATTATCTCTGGCCCCTTGACCATTTCAATTATCAGACACTTGGCATAAATTTGGCAAAAACAAAAAGCATTCAAATGGACGCTCTCGATAACAGGGAAAAAGCGCCGCAAAGTCGCTTGTTTACTCGCTGTTGACCCTTGAACCGCGCTGGGGGAACCACCCCCACATCGCATATTTTTTTTTGTTGGTCACGAATGGCGAACCCAGCTGCATTTTGGCTACTCGTAATCCCGATTCAGAGAGCTTCCTGCACTTGTAATGCGGCTTAAAAGAGTGAGCGAGGGGGCAGGCTTTTATGATACCATTCTGGGCCATCTAGGGTTTTATATTCTCACTCGAAAAAATCCTTTATCCCCAACAGCCCGTCTCGCTCCGGATTTTGGAGCGCATTTTGAATACATTTTTGAATCAGTGTCGACGCTGTTTACTTTTTATGTCACCCTTTTTGGGACCCAACTCACTTTGGGCCCAGCTTCTTGTGCCTGCGCCCCCTCGGGTTTTATGCGATTTGTGTACTTCCGGCTGTAGTGGCTCTGCCCGGGACTCATGTGTGTTTTACCACTCTTGCAACCAAAACCACTGGCAACTTTGAAGCCCCCCGCCCATTTGCCCCGCCCACAATGTATTTAATTGCAAGCGGCGCTCAAATAGGATTTGTGCATTGTTTTCTGCGGTGGATTTAATGCACGACCCTGGCCAAAACCCATCTCCACCCACTTTGGAGGTTGTTTGCATTTTTTTTCCCGACTTCCATTCGGAATCTATTTTAATGTCAGTTTAATTCAATGCCCCAGCGGTTCTCTAATGCGCTGTGGGAGCTTAGAGGGGTTCCCTTGTGCGGCAAATGTAATTAAATTGTGGCCAGAGTGGGATAATCCCCTTCGTTCTTTTCGATATCGGTACTTAGGACATATGTGCTCGGGCAGGGATAAAATTTCCGCAATGCAAAATTCACTGTCCTAAGTTGGTAAGTTCAATCAAAAAAAAAAACATTGTATTAAAAATTTTTAAGCTTTTTTTATAAAAAGCTTACCCTCACACACATTAATCAGCTATTAATACAATAAATATTTTTTTTAACAAAGCTGATTTAAATTTTCATTGTCAGTTGTCGAAGTGGTATCAAAGTGGATGTGATCAAAAAATATAAACGGAATGCTTAAAAAAATGGGTTGGAGATATGCGTAATTTAATTGGTTGATTATTTATTGTACGGGCCATGCAAAAGGTTCAAATTAGGGCAAAATTGGACATAGCTATTGTTTGCATTACGTATTTATTGTATTTTAACAAAGTTTTAAAGATATTATAATAAAATGCTTAAGCCTTTTCAGCAAAAAACAACTAAAAAATAAATAAAAATTAACTATTATTATTATTATTGATTAATTCCATTTGATTTCCATTCAAATTTCTCTGATATGCAAATTTCTTTATTTTCAATGCACATTAACAATACCTAAAATATAAATGTTATAATAAATATTGTATCGATTTCTTCTTCTTTCCCCCAAGAACTGTTTTTCCGACCTACTCTAAATACCAATTTTCATGGAATCGCACTCAATCGCCTCACTGGGGACGCAGAGTCGAACAGCTTTCAACCGTCTCTCGAAATCTGAAGCAGCTAAAGGCGCTTGGCTTATTTCCGTTTCCGCTGGCTGCCATATTTTCAGACTCCCCAGCAAAGCAGCTCACCATTTTTACCTCAGCAATGCAATTTTCGGTTCGAAAAAAGAAGTGGAGCAAAAATCGCACGTTAGATTTTGGAGGGGAATTTTGGGGGGAGAGCTGTGTGGTTAGGTCAGCAAAACTACTTTTCAGCTGCTGCTGCTGCTGCTGCTGCTGTCGCTGCTTTTGTTGCGGCCATCCCATTGTGTCGCCGGAAATATTCAATTTTCAATTTTCATTTCGCTGGCCAGCAAAAATTGGCAAGCGAAAACAAAGGACGTGAACGGAGAGCAGAGCGAGAAAATCTGCTAAGCGCATACGGAGGGGGAAAAGCAAAAACAATGCAGAAGGAATGAAATCAAATCAATAATGTCGTTTTTTAGACATTTCCCCTTTTTCCCCGGATTGTATTGTACGGAATTATGAAGGTGCTTTGCGAAGTTGCTGTCAGGGCAACGTAATCCTGATGAAACGTGCAGCATGACTTCCAGCAATACAACTAAGCCCAGTTGCAGCCACAATACAGACACAAAAGTTAAGCTGACCAGGGCAGCCATTGTCATCTTAACACAATTAAGCGCTCAACGGGAGCCAGGGCAAATATATAAATTTATTGAAATATTATTTATGACGTTGAAAATTGCTGGAAGCCGCCTTTAATCCTCGTTACTTACCAGTCAAGGCCCCTGCTGGGATTGCTTCGGTTAGCGTTTGTTTTGGCCAATTTCCAGGGTCATTAGCTGACGGCAATGATGATGGCGATGCTGGAGCCGACAACTTTTGGCTATGTGCGCATCAAAGACCTTAGAGGTGGCATCTCCAGCTGAGTCTCACACATCGCAACGAAATTGGTTTTTTGAACAATTTTACAATATAAAGACTATTTTATAATGAAAACTCTTCAGCGACCAGCTAATTTATATCATGTTCATTCTAAGCTTATACTCTAAAATGGAACATTTGAACTGTTGGGAAAATATTAAAAGCAGTTGAGTTTTAAAAGTATTATCAATAGATTTTAAATTTTTAAGTCTGATAGGTGGACTTCAAAAGACGACCCTTCTATTAAACGCTTATAAATTATTGTAAATTATTTCAAAGCCATGCTTATTTCTGTGGCACACAGCAGTAATTGGATTTGTAAAAACAAAATAACCATTTTTATATTAATTTAAATTTATTTAATTATTTTAAATTTATGATAATTTAAGCTGCAAATGTGCAGCCCTATAGTTTTTCATTATTATTTGTAATTTCAATGTTAATTGAGTTTCAATATAATTAGCATTTTTAAGCACTTGCACAATATGATCTGGTCTGATCACCATAAAACAGATGACTAGCACTTGAGGAATAACGACTTTTAACTTCGGTAAACATTAAGAAGATCTCGTAAAGCTGTCGATTGAGCCGCATTCCAGCAGCTCGCTGACAGCCCCAGTGAAATACCTGCGAGCCGCACTCGGACACTCATTAAGTAGCCCCGAAACTTTAAGCTGCTTATACAGAGTGCTCTGAACGCGCATAAGACTTCGGAGGAGACAGGAGCTTGTTTTAATTAAAATTTTAATTTAATTCCTTCCGCTTTTTATTTCGCACACATCAAACGCGATGGGGAACGTGGCGAGGGCCAGCCAGACATCAGCCGAAATTAAAATCTGCAGCAAACACTTGACACTTGGGTGGAGTCGAGGGGTTTCGTTGTCAAACTGCAAACTTCATAAGTGACAAGAATTACGCATGGGCACTGTGGCCCGGCTGCGAAATAACACGTATAATTAAAGCAAACAGGGCGCAATATATTGAAGTGTCTGCGTGTGTGTTTTCGGGTTTGGGTGTCTGTGTGTGTGTGGGTGCTCATTAACACTTTGTCGAGTGGTGTGGCCCCAACTTCAAGTTTGTTTGGAGTGGAGAATACGGCGTAAAAGATGAGCTCAAACCGCCAGGGAAAGCAGTGTGTGTGTGAGTGTGTGCAAAGAGTAAATCACTGAAAATAGCTGGCAAAATAAATTCCACAAAGATTAAGTAAGACATAGCTATAGTCCCTTCACCATTTTTCCCTCTATCACTTTTCTTACACTTTGCGCCTGCTGCCTAAAACTACAGGTCGACCTCAGCAAAGTGATCCAAAGACTAAAATTTATAGTTAGCAAAAGGCATAAACGTTGATTTACATTTGACAATTAAATATTGAATTGAAGTATTGAATTGATAATAAAACATGATAATATTAATACTTAAGTCGATCTTTAATGCTTCACTGTCCGATGTCTGTTGCTGTGCCATA